GCTGCCCTGGCAGCCCCAGTTCCATCCGACCTCCTCCCCGAGAAGGGCTTTCTGGTGGCGGTGGGGTGACTGGGGGGTGACTGGGTGTAGGGCAAGGCCAAGCATTTCTTTCTTTCTGATCTTGATGACAAAGCTGGGGACAAGCTCGAAAGCAGAGTGGAGGAAAATATCACATCTTGAAAATACACCACTATAAACAATATAGAAAGGATAAGGTGTATAAAGGAGTTAACTGCCAGGGTATTTAAATTTTCTATTATTTCATTATTATCATCATCACCACCATCATCATCATCATCATGACTACTACTATATTCTTAAACATTCTATCACATACTAATATTTTGCTCATTCTCAAATACTTTACCTACATGTTAATATTTCTGCTCCATGATCAGAAGTGCCGGGGTTAATCATTATTTCAAATGATCAGAGAGAAATTTGGGGGGCTCTGTCTAAGTTCTTTGTAATTTTATTTGCCAGCATGTTTCTAGTTGGTGTTTTTGGGTTTTTTTTTTGTTTTGTTTTGTTTTTTTGATATTATGGTAGTACTGGAATGTTACCTTAACATCACTCTTGTAACTTGCTAACAAATGTTGTTTCGGATTTCTATTGCTTTTCTTGATCACCTCCTCCAGATCATACAATTTCATTAATAAGATGTCTAGGACCACAGAGAAATAGTACCAGAGCTACTAGTTCCTCCATTGCATGGTATAACAGGCTTTTGACAACAGCAGCAATAAGCACCAGCAATACTATATTTAGCGGAATTGCAGAGATCATTGCAAGTTTTACTGGAAAGTCAAGTACCTACATATTAAGACTTTTTATTATTATTTTTTTTTACCAACCAGAGAGTGTGTGTGGGCATAACATGGGGGAGAACTTCCTGGGATTGCTAAGGAACTTGCTTTTAATTTTAAAATTCCATGTTTATTATCTGTGAATACATGAGATTAGCACACTAGTTTGTTATTTTCAGTGGCTGTTCTGGCCAAATGGTTGTAATTCTTTTGTGCTACTTAGTTTCCTCCTGTTTCTCTGTGGAATTACAGGAAGCATGTTCATAGTTTCTTCTGTTATGTAAGGCTGTTTCCTTTGTCAAAGGGCTTGATCCAGTGCCCACTGGAATTCACATAGCCAATAATGAATGCAAAGACTAATGGTTGTTTCAATTTATTTATTCATTTATTCATTTTGGTGAATGGGAAATTTAAATACAGTAGAAATCTCAGTCCAGAACAGCTTGCTCATATTCATGTTTTTTCGGCTAAACACCATTTGAGTGCATCAGGTTTTGTGTGATCACCTCCAAGGAGTGGGTGTGTGGGACCTCCTGCAACCTCAGCCTCTCTATAGCTACAGAGAGACGTAGATTGCCAGAAAAACTTGAAGTCAATGCTTAGCATTTACAATGCCAACAGCCAGCACAACTGAGCAAAGGTTTAGCATCATTTTTTCCTCAGATTGGTCCCCACTGAGATGAGCTAGAAGGTCTCTTCTTACATAACTGTTTCTCAAAGGCAGGTCCATCTTTTTCTATCCAAAGATCTCCACTGTATAATGTGGCAGGACTGACTCTGGACCAGAAATTCAGCTGCTGCTTGCTAATGTTTTGTCTTCTCTGGTGCTGAAAGCTGGGCTAGCTCCTTAGGATATACTGATGTGATCCATATCTCTAACGACAGATATCTCATATCTGATGGCGTTGAATGAATTGCAGCATGTACTGTAAATAAATGCCTGGAAAGCATTTAATCGGCAGGTGAATGGCTGCAGGCTATACAAATATAACATATGAATAAAATTTGTCACTACATATCAATGTAAGGCCTAAGTTTTAGCGACTGCTCTGATTTGAAAAATGCTTTAAAGAGATGTTAAACTTTAGGTAAGTCTTTACAGATGTTTGACCAATAACATTCTTAATATGTTTAACAATGAGCATATTCCTAAGTGCTTTCCTGGATTCTACCATAAGCTCTCACCGCACCACAACACTGTCCTGTGGTTGAGTATTCAGGTATTTCATTTTTATTATTAAAAAAAAATGTCTGAACGTTTAGATACCATGAACAAACAGGTTGAAAACTTACTAAATTATTACAAAGAAAATAACAGAATGAAAGTATCACTCCTCTTTGATTTTTTAATTTTTTTTTTTTTTTTTCCGTGATACAAAATAGGCTATTGAAAAAAACCCTTTCCTTTACTGAGCTTATGTTTTACCTATTAGAAGCGACACAACCAAGAGAATTCAATTGCCAAAAATACAGGTCTTTCACTCTGAGGTCACTAGTGGGCGCTGCTTTAATAATGTAAGTCAGAAGGGGAAAGGGTTTTATTTTGAAGGTTTAAACACAGGTACACCTGCGATAGTAGAAGCCCTTAAGAAAAGCTAGATGTGTCCCATGTATAAACTCTCAGTCACGTATATAGTGGAAAATCATCTCGTTGAGAGCTGGTATTCATAGTTAATTTTTGATCAAAATTTAATTAATACTGTTCAATGCTAGGGCTCTTTATATTTATTTTGGTTTGTACAGACAGTAACCATAGATGGACTTGCATTTGAGGTTGAAATAAATAATTTTCAGGATTGTAGGATGTTTCCTGTAATATTACAGATGCTTATTTTCCACTTGGTTAAATCTCAACATGAAGTAACTGAATCTCTGCCCTAAAGGAACAGCTGAGAATTTCTCCTGACAGAGACTGGCACAAAGTTTTTACTAACAGAAAAAGTAAAGGTTATAGGAACCTGTAGAGTGGTTCCTCAGATCTGTGTCATCAGTCATCTGGGTAGCCCTAGAATTTTTGTCTAGGATGAGACTGAGCAAAGGACTGATAGGCAGAATTATCTCCCTGCCTCACTACTTCTGCAGTTGCTCTGAGTATACAGCTAGTGCATCAGAAGACTGAGACCATGGTGGCTGTCATCTATTGTTAAAGCATGAAACTTCAGGATTAATTTATAGTTAGATCCATAGCTGAAATAAGCTATAAACCTTGATACAACAGTAATTAAATGCCTGATTTCATTTTGCTTATGTTGCAGTAAATTAGGAATAACTCCCTTGATGCTAAAGAAATTGAACACTGTGAAAAGTAGATTTGACCCTAAGTGCTCTGCATGTTGATTTGCTTGTCCATCAATGAAAACAAATAAATGCAGATAAATTATTAATTGAGAAACAATTCTCATTACTTTATACATGTATTCAGGAGTTCACTATCTTTGATTCTGCTGAATCTTCTGTTCTCAGTCTGAAGGTTACAGCCTCTCCAACTCCTTTTAAGGTTAACCATTCAAGCAGGAGTTATATTTAAGCTTATGAGATTTTGCTTGATTTTATTTTAGTGCTCATCCTGCTTGTAATAATAAGCTTCCTGTTGTAGGAAAGAATGATAATAAAAATGTGGAGTGACTTGTATGTGACTCCCTTGGGAAAGAAGCACAGTAAAATTGCATATTTCAACAGTTCCCTTAGCCATCCTCACTTCAGGAAGATGTTTTCCAGGAAATGCAATTGGTGTGCTTAGTCTATCAGGTCTGTGCTCAGACATTGTGGCCTAAAATGGGATGTGTTCACATGCCATGACCAGCTATATCCAGCAGAAGGATGACTGGCAATAAGCACAAATTGAAATATAGGAAATACTATTAAAACAAAAATAAGAACCCTTTTAACAGTGATTATGGTCAAACACTGGAACAGGTTTCTCAGAGAGATTGTGAAGTCTCCTTCTTCAGAGATATTAAAGACCTGACTGGACATGAAGCAGAGTGGATTGACAAAACAAATTCCTGAGGTGCCTCCCCACCTCAACCATTCTGTGATTTTTAGGTTCATAAGAGCAAGAGTAAGCCCACTGAACCAGATCTTTATCCACTGAAATTTAGGAGGCTCACTTAGCCATGTCAATAAAAGTTCTAATTTGTTTCACTGCATCATGAAAGCCCAAAGAAAGTACTGACTTCAGATGCTTTGGACGTTAGTCCTAAACCTAATACTATAAAATGTAAGCTGTTTTCTTAGTGTAATTAGTAACAGCTTTGTAACTCCCAAGTAAGTTGGCTTTCAGTTTAGTACAGTGTAGCATGTGAAGAAATTTCAGTGATTCTGGAGCAACTGCACCCTGCCTCTGGCCCCATCTTTTCCTTTAGATGCTATGGAGTGGGAGAATTTGATTGCTTTCAGAACTTGCTTTTGGGCCACAGGAACCCACCAGCCATGACATCTGCTATTGTTTTGGAATAAAAAATATAAAGGAGACCTTCAGCTTGACTTCATTCTTTACCCTGTAATTTTATACTGATAGATACAACTGTAGACAGAGAAGAGCAAACAGCTGTTTTTTTGAATGAAGAAAATTGAAATGGCCTTGCTGCCCTCTCTTTCTCTTATATTGTGCATGCAAATTGCTTAATCCATAGATATAAGACCAAGAACAGCATTACTAAACTTGTCCAGAATCCTGGTTGTTGTGTGTTATAGAATGAAAATGGTCGAAAGAAACAGGATAATTTTTTTTGTGTCACAAACTCACCTCAATCCTCTGAACTCTCTCTTTTTGTACATACGCAGCTGCACCGGCAGCTATGTTATAAAAAGGCATCTAATTGTATATCCAGTTACAGTCTGAGGCAAAGCTGGCATTTATCTAGATATAGTCGAGCTCTGTACTTGTAGCCTTAATTTGAGAAGCTCAGAAAAATAAGCATCCATGTTTTTAAAAAGTAAAGCACTATTTCTTTTCAAGTATCAATGCATTAGTAGACAATTAAAGATTTATTTTATTTTTTTTAAGTGACAATACATTAAATTAGTCAGAGATATAGGAATTTAATATCTATGATACTGTACAAAGATATCCTCTGATTTTCATCCATTAAACTGTGTGCAAATTATACAGTACCATCTTCAGAGTCATGGAACAAACAATTGGAAGACATAAGCAGTAGTGATATTCTGTAATTAGAGACTAATTAACCTGAACTGAACTGCTGTTATTCCTCAGTGGCAAAGGGTTGCAGTATTGATAAACTAACTCTCCACAGACTAGAAAAAATAACTTATTGAAGTGTTCTACTGTTGTCTGAACCATATTTCATTATTAAAACTTTCTATTACTAGAGATTAATATTACATGAACCTATTAATATTGTGATTAATGTTACAAAACAGTTTCTATTCAATATTTCCTCCTCTTAAAGACATGGATTTCACTTGTGAATATTCACTAAAACTATTGCATTATTTCCTCTGTGTAAATAGTTTATAATTTATAGATGTCTAGGTAAAATAATAATAATTAAGGAAGACTAAATTCAAGCAGAAAAGTGTTTCTAGGTTTAAACATTTCTTCTTCAGAATCGGGAAGATTTTCACTGAATGACCTAACTGAGGAGGGTAAATTTAAGATTAAAATACTGCTAAATTTTGAATCTGCAAGAAACAGAGACATATATCCTATGGCAAGGGTTTCTTTCACTTTGTAGCATCTGAGCACTATTACTAATTGTTAATGAATTAGAAATGACTGGTGGGTCTGAAATATGGTGGAGCTTTCTGTGTTCCTTTTCATTACATCAAAAGATTTATGTCAGAGATCAGCCTCTGTCCCAGAAGTGTGCTGGTTTTTACTGTTTTTTTTCAGTAATGAAACTGGACATTTGGTTCACTAACCAGCTCAGCATCTTCCTAGAAGAGTGTGCTCAACTTTCTGTACTATCAGTTGGCAGGTGTACTGCAATGCATGATACTTTTATGTGCTCAGGGATCAAGACCTGCACAAACTACTGTTTTAAGTACTATTTAAAACCAGAAGCAGCCTGTTGCAAATCCACTGCTTTGTACAGACCATCTTCAATATACAAATTCTTTGCTAATTCTATTTTTTTCCATTATTTTTTTTTCAACCCTCATCAACATTAAAGCTTAATGCAGATTGAATTGCAGACTATCAGAAAACATAGCAGATCAAACATTTTAGTCAGTAAAGCATCTCTATAGTCTCTATGTTGATTTTCTAGCAGCAAAGTCTGTATAGTTGTCCACAGTACCAGGATTTGTCTAATTGCTTATTGCGAATGGTTGACTTAAGGATATAAAAAGATTAATAGAATTTCACTGCCCTGCTGTTTTAGAATTGTTTCTCCTCTGCTGAAGTATTAATTGCCTGAAACAAATTCAAAGATAAATAAAAAAATAAGTTTTTGTGATCCTAACTTATTTTCAAAGTTAATTTGTTTGATGTTGTGGTTTACAAAGAAAAACACAGATTTACAGATTTGAAGAACCAGGTTCTGCATTCCTTAGAATATTTCAGGAACAGTTCTGTTTGTCAACAGCCATTTCCTGGTGCTGTAACTGATAACATAATACTGCCCTAGATACATTAAAGTGACATGTGCATTTGTGATGTAGGAAGTGTCTGAAAGACACACATTTGACAAGGCAACATCTTTCTTCTTTGGAATTAAATACTTCTCTTTCTTTTGTCCTTTTGAAAACATTTCCTGAAAGAGTTTTTAAACAGGAGTGTCAAAGAAAAAACACAGATCTATATCAGGAGAAGTAAAGGCTTACGACTGTGAAGCACTGAGGTACAACAAGGTTTTCCAGCCCGAAAAGTGACAGAAGCAAGTGTCTATACAGAGACAATGTATTACAGCCATTGACAGTGCTAGGAATAGGTGCAATTTTAAAACAGATTACAAAGCTGACTGTATGATAGATTTTAAAGGTTTTTATCTTTATTTATTTTTGAAGGTGATGAGGATTATGATCACATGTGCATCTCTGCATAGCTGTCCACTTGGAGATGATGGTGACTCTTTAGAGAACATACGTAAAGCCCTGGTTAACCATCAGCACAGTGCTCCTTTCATCCTAAAAGTTCGATAACTGCTTTTCACCAGCTTTCCAGTTTTGTTTCATCATGTTGTCTCTACCAGCCTAAACCATTTCCTAAAATGGTCCTTCTGCTCGTCCTTGCATTCCTGTTATTGAAGGAAGATGTCCATGGGAACTTTGGGCTATTGGTTTCTGCACAGGCCAATGAAAGAAGAGTGGTTGCACACATGCCTGGTGATATTATCATTGGAGCTCTATTCTCTGTCCACCATCAACCAACTGTTGATAAGGTTCATGAGAGGAAATGTGGAGAGGTAAGAGAGCAGTATGGCATTCAAAGAGTAGAGGCAATGCTACACACCCTTGACAGAATTAATTTGGACCCCACACTGTTGCCAAATATAACACTTGGATGTGAAATAAGGGACTCTTGCTGGCATTCTGCTGTGGCCCTGGAGCAGAGCATTGAGTTTATAAGGGACTCTCTAATTTCATCAGAAGAAGAGGAAGGGATGGTGCGATGTGTGGATGGATCTTCATCGTCTTTCCGCTCCAAGAAACCCATTGTTGGTGTCATTGGACCCGGCTCTAGCTCAGTTGCTATCCAGGTCCAGAACTTGTTGCAGCTTTTCAATATACCTCAGATTGCTTATTCTGCCACAAGCATGGACCTAAGTGACAAAACTCTGTTCAAGTATTTTATGAGAGTTGTGCCATCTGATGCACAGCAAGCACGGGCTATGGTGGACATTGTCAAGCGCTATAACTGGACCTATGTTTCTGCTGTACATACTGAAGGTAAGAGGTTGTTTTTTACCCATACAAAATGCTTTTGAACTACTTCAATGTGGTCCAATAGATAGATGATGGTAGTTTTATGTTGTTTTTTTTTTTTGCCAGGCAGTTGTCAACAGTCTAAATTTGCTTAATACCTATTTCATATTCCCTATGGGGTTACAGTAACATCATGTTGATAATGGCTGAAAATTAAGTTTGTACTGCAGGATTGTGTGTGCTTTAGGGTCACTTGTTACTAAAAAGTGCTTACTCTGAAGTCTCCTCAGTGACTTTAATTTGATTTAGTTAACATTTATTTATTTGTTTTATCTCTCAATGAGTGTATTTATGTAGAATAATAGTTTTAACTATATTAGTATCAATGGGTAATGAGAACGAGTCTGGTTTTCCCAGTGCCAGGGAGCACTAAATCATCATTTGAAACTGTAGCTGAGTCAGAACATGTTCCTGTCTAATGTCTGAGGCACGGAGGCATGAATACTAGAAAACATGTAGTTCTGGATAATACTGAATGCAAGTTGTCCCAACTCCTGGAGAATTTCTGTCCTTTTTATTATATTCCATGAAGTGTCACAGTCACTTCCTACTTTGCATCTGGCCTTTGGTTTTGGGATTCAACAAGGAAAGTGTCCTCAAATTTTCTTCACAAGCTTATGCTCCATCAGGCATCCAGAAAATCAGAACTGTGTGCTAAATTGCTTTCTTGGTTTTATTAATTTGAGCTAGAACTTAAGCTTTTTACCAAGTGTTCAGAAGAGCATATGATTAAAGGGAATTTCTATGGAAAAGTTTACCTGATTTCATTATTCCTTGTATTGCCAGAGTTGAGTGGGTTCATCTTGCTATAAGTATCTAGATTTTAATTCTGCCTTAAGAGTAGGTTTCTCTAGTCCCTGTTAATGACAGCATCATTTAATGAGCTTTCTGGAATTAGGTTCTGTGATGAATTTTAGGATCTCACTGGGTCATCTCTGTTCAGAGACCAACTTGGAATGGAAGGCTCAGAATTTGATACAAGAACGAAAAATGTTATTAAGAGATTGAGTAGTGGCGACAGCATTTCTGAACAGCAGCAGATGCTGCTGGCTTTATTACAACCAATAGAAAGCAGATTGTCCTTCCCACACACTGAGTATGCTTCTCTGGCAGCCTTCACACTATTCAAAGCCCTTTTTGGGGGGGATGCTGGTCCAGTGCTAGTATGTAGAGATCGTCATCCACCTACATAAACGCAGAGAGCTCTACCGTACTTAAAAAAATAAAAAATAAAAATTACATGCAGATTGTTGCATTCATGTTTCCATCAAGATAACAAAAGCTGGTAAAAAACTGTTGCCTCTTTTGTATGGGGATGCATGAATATATTAACAGTTCAATATAATGGCTTGTAAATCACCCTACATCGCATCATGTAGTGGAGATACTCTGTGCCAGCTGATGCCTTTGGCATGGTTTGCTGTGAAGCCTTCACTACACCAATACATATGAATAATATCAATGTCAAAAAATAATGTCACTGATGGAGCACATTAGCATAAGATTTTATATCCTGACTACTTTTGGTGACACGTTTAAATTTTGCTATGAAAAACTTTTACACCTCTGCTTACTGAGAAGCAATGCTTATATATTCAGTGTGGGAACTGTCAAGCTTATATAAAGGTCTGATTCTGCAGAGTGAGGTTACTTATTTCTGCCACTTCCTGTGGACACTCTGTTTGGAGCAGATGGTAACATACGGCATGTTGATCTTATGGCAGAGGAACTTTGCACTGTGCATTGGAAAGACAGGAATAGGGACACAAGGGTTGAAGTTGGGGGTACCTTCTATGGGCAAAACAAGAGTAGAAAATGACAGAGCAGCTGGGCATGAAGAAGGAAAAAAGATGAATGATGTATCAAGTACAACATATGCCTACTTCTGCTGGTGTTAAAATGGAAAAAAAATATGTTGTATATTGTTAATACCTGAGGATTCATGTCATTCATGTGACACGTTTTCAGCAACATAACTCTGGACATCAGTGAATGAACAATAAACTTGGATTCTGGGAATCTTATGATTCAATCATCTATTTGCATGGTCTGGACATGATGATAAATATGCTTTCCAGTTCAATAACATCACACAACTGTTTTCTAACAATAGAACAGATGGTATTTATAATGGGATAGAGAAATACAAGGCAGTCAAGGTATTTCTTTGAAATGTGACAATGTCTGATTTCTGGACACTTTCTAAAGATTATGGAAGATGATGTCCCTTCCAGGAGCAGAAAGATTTTTTTTTAAACTCCAGAAAACCTTCCTCTAGATAAGTGATACAGGAATTGAATACAAAAGCATAAGAGGTTTTTCTATATTATTTTTATTTTAATAATAATTTTCTTGTCAGTACAACACCTGTTTACTTGTAAACATTCTGAATATCATAGAATCATAGAATCATAGAATCATAGGGGTTGGAAGGGACCTTGAAAGATCATCTAGTCCACCCCCCCTGCCAGAGCAGGGTCACCTAGAGTACATCACATGGAATGCATCCAGGTGGGTTTTGAATGTCTCCAGTGAAGGAGACTCCACAACCTCCCTGGGCAGCCTGTTCCAGTGCTCTGTCATTCTCACAGTAAAAAATTTTGTTCGGATATTCACCTTGAACTTCCTATGCTCCAATTTACACCCATTACCCCTTGTCCTATCACTGGTCATCACTGAGAAAAGCCTAACTCCGTCCCCCTGACACTCACCCCTTACATATTTGTAAACATTGATGAGGTCGCCCCTCAGTCTCCTCTTCTCCAAGCTAAAGAGACCCAGCTCCCTCAGCCTTTCCTCATAAGGCAGATGTTCCATTCCTTTCATCATCTTTGTGGCTCTGCCCTGGACTCTTTCAAGCAGTTCCCTGTCCTTCTGGAACTGAGGGGCCCAGAACTGGACACAATACTCCAGATACGGCCTCACCAATGCAGAATAGAGGGGGAGGAGAACCTCTCTTGACCGACTAACCACACCCTTTCTAATGCACCCCAGGATGCCATTGGCCTTCTTGACCTCAAGGGCACATTACTGGCTCATGGACATCCTCCTGTCTACCAGGACCCCCAGGTCTCTTTCACCATATAATCCTGTACTCAATGTCCTGCATTCATAGATGTCATTTCAAAAAAGGGGAAAGAAAAAATATTAAATCCCACTCCTTGCAATTTTTATTGACTTAGAATCTTGTCCACCCATTGATAGAGGGTCTTCTCTCAGTGCCTCTATTAATTCTGGCCATCTGTGGTCATTATCTTTAACTAATAATCTTCTTGCTGTTACCAGATTGTTCTGAAATATGATTTTTTGGTTTCTGGGAAGGATTTCCAAGAGAAGGAAGGGTTGGTCCTCTCTTGTAATGCCAAACTGGGAGAAGAGAAGAGACAGGAAAAGCATGATTGTTTCATCGCTTTGGTAGTTCCATCAGTATATGGAGTTACTGGTTTCTTTTTGTTCTCATATAAGAAAAACCTGGGATAAGTCAGTGGATTCATAATAAAAAGCTTCTTTTTGGGTCTTTCCTTCTTTAGTGGATTAATATTTTGGGAATCTGATCTGAAGTTTTATTATTAAATCCTTATTGAGGATTTCCAGATTTAAAATATGCAAAAATTTTGAGGGGTTCTCATAAGCTTTGCTCCTTTTAATATTATGGTTTAATCTGGATGATGCTTCCAGGTGCACAAGTAACCAGTAAGAGTAATTTTTCCCTAAGAATTTGGAAGGTAGCAAGCACTATTGTCAGTGGAGTTCTTGTAATTTTAAGGAGGAAGTTTCTGCGATCCTATTAGTAGGAAATATGAGTAACAAATGCAGGCTATTTCTCATAAAGCAACAGTCATCTCCACTTAGTGTAGTGTATTTCACATATGCCAATCAGAAATCTTTGCAAGTCTTAGACAGTCATAGGCTGTAACTCGCCTTGTTCAGCTCTGGCAGGAGTGACAGGTGCCACTGGTGTCATTATCTTCCCCCACTCTGCAACTCTGCCTTGTATTTCATGATTTGTGGAGCTCTACTCTGAATCAGTCTGGCTTTAAAATAAAGCTTTTTCACCTACCCTCAGATCACTTTTTTAAAAAACCTCATTAGTTCTGGAATCCAGGCCTCACCATGACCCCACAAACAGACATATTTACACTGTGTGTCAGGGAGGCAAGAGGAAATGGGCAAAGAGGGAAAATGTGATGGGAAACTCCTTGTACTGAGGACTTCAAGCTTAAAACAAGTGCCTTCAACTTTATGGATTGCTGCAACCATCACACAGGTTGTGCTGGAGACCATTTTATTTGACATTTGCATACTGGTCTCATTCTTTCAGCTGGCCTTGTGGATATTTTATTTCCACCACTGTGGTAAGAACAGAGCTTAAACAAACTTTCCTTAAACTTAAACAAATTTTCACTTCTTAAATCAACTCTGCAAACAGACAGGTCAATAATGCAGTCAGGAACTCTGTCTGTCTCTCAGGCAAAGCAGGGCAACAGAGAAAGCCCTCTGGTTTAGTCCCTCAATTTCTCAAAGAAATTTAGAGATCTTTTTTAGCTTATGTAACAGTTGTCCACCCCCAGGGGAACTAATGCATGGACAAGGGAGTAGACAGGAAAATTTGTGTCTGTATCTGGGTTTTGGGTGGTGATGACTGGCATGCAGATGGGCTATGCAACTCAAGCATCTTTGGAGTTTTGTCTCAGCCTTTTCTTGTTTAACCACTCAGCACCAAAACTAATAAATATGGCCGTGGAAACCAGGGAGAGGTTGGGTGTCTGCCCCAAGAGACAAAAAAACCTGTCTGTTCACTTGATTTCCCATATGAAAGCATCCTCTAGTCTTTCTGAAAGACCAGAGAAAAATATATGCAATTTCCTCTTCTATCTTTGGGGTCTGAAGGCCTCATTTAAAGCCTACTTGAACTCAACACTCCCCCATTGACTGGAATGACATTTGGATCAGGCTTTCCTCAT